CTTGGAACTTGTACATGGGGAAAAAAATGACTTATCACTACATAATGTGCCAATGTTTTTTTCTATGTTTTGTACCAAAAATGGAAAAATAGGACAATTCCATGCAAAGAAATGTATCTAAATTATTTTTGTTAGATGATAAGAGAACTTGCTTGGTCAGGACAGCAGCCAGCTTTGTATTGTAATGCTATATTATGTAAATGTGATGAAAATGTTTTTGTGAAGTACTTGTAACTAAATTCCTACAGCCATTTTTCATTCCCAGCAGCTGTTTTTATTTTACCTTTGGCCTAAACTTTTCATAATTTCAAATTTGGGGTTTAGTGTCCTTTATTTCATGAGTCACACGCTTTGTTTTCAGAGCACATTAAAATCAGGAGGCCAGAATCCCATATGAAGGAGCTAGCTAACTTGCCTAGGCTTCAGAAGCTTGCTTGAGGCAAGGACAGTCTTTTTCTGATCATCTCACTATCAGTTCTATTGGGTAAGTAACATTTATCAGCTATCTGACATCTTCTTACTAAGTGTTATGTCAAGTTTCATGTTAAATTAAAACTTATTAGTAATGTGTGAATGTTTAAAAATGCTTTAAGAGAGCTAGGTACTAAAGCTTCAGCAATTTTTGCTCTTTACCAGTGTAATCGACAGTATAATCTTCTGAGCTGCAAACTAGTATATTCTTCCACGTAGTCAACTTGTTAGAAATACAGGCTTTCAGATGGTATGTGTATCAGATAGTTTATATTATATAAACAGTTATAACTGCCTCTTACATGGAGTTGTTTACTTAAACGTCATGTATTGAGGGGGGCTGTATTAGGAAAATGCAACTCTAATTATTTCCATGACTACTAAAGAGAAGGAAGCTAGTTATAAAACATTGTTGGACCAGAAAGACCCTATAATTTCCTAAGATCATTATTTATTTCTAATTTAAGATTTTAAAATTGACTTGCCCTCCGAGTCAGGAGTAACTAGCCTTCAGGGCAAAAAAGCCCATCAGTTCACTCAGAACCTATCTGGCTTCAGAGCGAGAAAGAGGAGGGATGACCCTGTGCTCTTGTTCTATGTGAATACAGCCAGAGACTGAGGTAACAAACATATTTTTAAATAAAAATGACAAAGCATTTGTACACATTGTAACACTACACAGTGTTACTTCTGCTGTTGCAAGTATCTTAAGTGTTGAAAGCTAAACTTGGGAAATGGAGAAAATGTAATACACATTGATCTATTATTCTAAATTGAAAGTCCAACTTTTAGCAGCAGTCTGCATGCAACTACTGAACACCATCAGATTTGAGTTCCTACCAGAATCTCCCATCATGCTGTTATCCCCTCTCTGACCTTAGAGCAGGCATGAAAACAAAAGCAATCTAGCTCCTAGGGTTGGAGACTGCCCTCTAGACATAGTTGTTTTTCTTGGCAGAAAATTAGAATACAAGGATACCTCATCTTATTGCATTCTGCTTCATTGTGCTTCAAAGATACTGCCTTTTCTACAAATTGATGGCTTGTGGCCACCCTGCATAGAGCAACTCTATTGGCACATTTTTTCCAACATGGGCTCACTTTGTGTCTATGTCACATGTTGGTAATTCTCACAGTATTTATTTCAAACATTTTTATTCTTTTATCTGTCATGGTGGGCTATGATCAGTGATGTTTTTAACTATAATTGTTTTAGGGTACTGCAAACCATGCCCATATAAGACAGTGAACTTAAGTGATAAATGTTGTGTATATTTTAACTGTTCAACCAACTAGCAGTTTCTAATCTCTCCCTCTTCTTGTACCTCCCTATTCGCTGAGACAGAACTATATTTAAATTCAGCCAATTAATAACCTATACTAGCTTCTAAGTGTGCAAGTATAAAAGAAAGAGTCACATGTCTCTCAATTTAAATTAAATGCTACAGCGAATTAAGCTTATTGAGGAAGGACTTTCAAGGCCTTGAAAGCCCAGGCAGGTCAAAAGCCATGCCTCTTACACCAGTTAGCCAAGTTATGTAAAGGAAGACTTCTTGAAAGTGTTACTCCAGTAAACATGCAAATAAGAGTGAAACAGCCTTATTGCTAATGTGGAGAAAGTTTGAGTGGTCTATATAAAAGATCAAACCAGTCACAACATTCCCTTAGGCCAAAGCCTAATTATTTGAAGACTGAGAGGTGAGGAACCTACAGTAGAAAAGCTGGAAGCAAGCAGAGGTTGGTTGACGCAGAAGCTATCTATCTCTGTAACATCAAAGTGCAAGGGGTAACAGCAGGAAGTTATCCAGAAGGTGACTACACTAAGCTACTGAGTTTGTGAAGATGAAATGGCCTTCTCTTGGAAGAAGATGTCATCTAGGACTTTCATAGAGAGGAGAAATTCAATGCCTGCAAATGTAGCTGGTGCCTTTAAACTGAAGTCAGTGTTTATTTACCAGTCTAAACACCTTAAGGACCTTAAGAATTGTTAAATCTACTCTGCCCATGCTCTAGAAGTGGCACAACAAAGCCTGTATGACAGCACGTCTGTTTATAGCATGGTTTATTGAATATTTTAAGCCTATGGTTGAGACCGACTACTCAAATTTCTTTACAAATATTGCTCATTGACAATGCACCTGGTCACCTAAGAGCTCTGATGGATGTACAAGGAGGTTCATGTTTTCTTGCCTGCTACCACAATGTCCATGCTGTAATCCATGGGTCAAGGAGTCACTTGACTTTTAAGTCTAATTTAAGAAATACATTTCATAAGGCTGTAGCTGCCATAACTCGTGATTCCTCTGATGGGTCTGGGCAAAGTCAACTGAAAACCTTCTGGGAAGGATTTATCATTCTAGATACCACTAAGAAGATTCTGATTCATGGGAGGTGGTCAAAATTTCAATATTAAAAGGAATCTGGAAGAAGGGGGAGCCTGAAGATGTGACTGAAATGCTGTAATCTCATGAGCAAACTTTAATAGATGAGAAGTTGCTTAAGAATGTGTAAAGAAAGTGGTTTCTGGAAACAGTCATTCCATAGTGAAAATGCTGTAAACACAGTTGAAATGACAACAAAGGATTTAGAATATTCTATAAACTTAGTTGATAAAGCAGCATCAGGGTTTTAGATGACACACTAATTTTGAAAAAAGTTCTACTGTGGGTAAAATGCTACTAAATAGTGTTACATGTTAGAGATATCTTTTGTAAAAGGAAGTAGATTGATGTGGAAAATTTGATCACTGTCTTATTTAAAGGAAATGCCACAGCCACCCAACCTTCAGCAACCACTAGCAAAGAGTATGACTCACTGAAGGCTTAGATGATTGTTAGCATTTTTTAGCAATAAAGTATTCTCAAAGTATGTACATTTTTTAGAAATGTAAGACTACAATATAAACATAATTTTTGTAGACACTGGGAAACCAAAAACTAGATGTGACTCAATATATTGTAATACTTGCTTTTTTGATGTGGTCTGACACTTAACCTGTAATATCTCCAAGGTATGCTTGTATAATGATAGAAGGAATTTGCTGTGGTACTATAGTACCGTTTGCTTCCAAAATTCATGTGTTTTTTTACCACTCCATTTTAATAGATTACTATCACAAAACATTAATCCAGAACAAGCTAGGAAGTAAAACAGTTAAAAATGTATGACTCTGTTTTATCATACAATTTTAAAAAACCACTTTACAAATATATGGGCTAATATAGAATTCCTAAAGAAAAAAAGCATGCAGTAATGGCAGGAAGTCTTCTGTTCTGTAATGGAGGTAGCTTAGTGATTTGTCCATAGAACTTTTCATGACTAAATGTTATTTGGATTTAAGGTAGTCATATAACCCTTTCTCTCATTCAATCTTCAATTCCTGCTGGTGACATTGGGTACTACAGAGTTCATTTTAAGGCCTTACCATAGTGGGCCTCACTTTCCTCATTTATAACATTATGCCATTGGTCTACCTAGATCAGGCGTCCCCAAACTTTTTACACAGGGGGCCAGTTTACTGTCCCTAAGACTGTTGGAGGGCCGCCACATACTGTGCTCCTCTCACTGACCACCAACGAAAGATGTGCCCCTTCCTGAAGTGCGGCGGGGGGGCCGGATAAATGGCCTCAGGGGGCCATAGTTTGGGGACGCCTGACCTAGATGATCTTAACTCTTCCCGTCTCTGACTGTAGGTGGGTGTGGAAGCAACTGTCAAACCTAAAACTAGCAAAAACTTATAAAGATTCCCTGTAGGATATATTTGTATAATGAACAAGTAAATCTGTAGAAGGTTTTCTGGAAAAATGATCAGTCCATTAACATCAGTAACACTGCCCTTTCTTTAATCAGTAGTTTAAGAATTTCAATCTTTAACGTGTAGACTACTTTCTAACTTTATTTTTTAGCACCAAAAGGAGAAAACATACTGTTATAAGGCTGGTTATAGTATCTCGATCGACACTGCAAACAACTACAGAAAGGAAGTCTGTCTCAAGCAGTTCGTGAGTCAGGGCACAGGTGTGCTCAGCTGCAGTCTCTGACTGTGCCTCTCAAATGATCTAGAGCTCATTTGTGGCATACCGGAGGGGAGGTGGTTGTTCTAGTACCAATCTAGCCCATGGCTGTTCAAGCCAGTTCACAATGGGGAAAAATATACCCTCATAAGATTCCTATCCATTTAAGTTCATACAGGTTTTAGTAGGTATAACTAAAAACCCTTTTTTAAACAAATTGGTACCAAAAAAAAAAAAAACAAAACAAAAACTTGCAGTACTTACAGTATAGGTGGTTCATTTTTTTTGGCAGATTCAAGTTTGTGCTATAGAAGACGAATGTTACTAGAGACCAGAAAAAATTTGCAGGAGAAAGGCTATTTTTAAACTCATCACAAGAATTCTAAAGGAGCCCAAATAATAAAACTTTTAATAAATGCCACAACTATACTGTTACCTCTATTTGTACCTTTCACAAGGGTCTAGGTTCAAAATAAGCTCAAAACACAGCACTCACCACTTCAACAGCAGCTCAAAGTCAAATGGAAAACTTGTGATATATTCTTTGGAGGATGTACTAGGACCTGAGAAGTAACATGTTCCTGGTTGGTAGGTCCACAAAAAAGTTAAACTTAGAATTTTATGGACAAAATTTACAAATTTAAATGATGAATATGTTAATGGTTTTCAGAGTCGTACCTATATTTGATGTACAAGGTTCATACATGTGTACTTTTAATTCCTTAGACAGCAAGGTATAAGTCACCATTCTCCTCTAATTTTTGAAATAATCTTAAACTGCGCAATCCAGATTCTCGCTCTCCATTTTTCCACAAAATAATGAGATGATCAGCAGAGCATGTCACCAGTCCATGATCTTCAAAGTACAGAAACACCTGAAAAGAAAATTAAAACTGATGATAGGGGTCTCGAGAAGCAGCTAATACCACATTAACACATGTGCATGTGAGAGATACGTGCCTTAGAGACTCCTCTGGATCTGAGTGTAAAACTTCGTTTTTCAGTATTGGTAACAGTCACATACAAATAATATCTAATATTTTAATCAGAATTTTGTTAATATTGTTCAAATACAGAATAGCTACTTTGTAAAGTACACAAATTCCCATAGTTCTCCCAGATTTTACCATACTCTGATTTTTGAAGTATTGGTTTTAACCATTGTTTATGTACAAGGGCTATAGATAAAATGTCTGAATTCTCAATTTCCCAAGATAAACACTGGCTTCAGCTCTTTCCATAAAAGTAGATACTCAGTCAGTCCATAGGTATTGAGTGTCTGCACTAGGTTTATGGTCCCTACCCTCAAGAAGATTCTGAAAAAAACTGTAACTGAAACAAAAGTACCAATGAAAGATTATGTAATCAGGTACTAAATAATGCAGTACAGACTGTGACATACCACAGATATTCAGAAAAAGCTTCAATGTGAGAAAACTCCCCAAGAAGGGGAAGGGGCTTGCCCAGTGAAGGAGTAGGTCAGAAGCTAAGAACAGTAAGGGTGTTGACGAAAAGGCAGCATGGATGCTATAGGGTGAAGGGTTGTATAAGGGAAAAGATGAACCCATGAAAAAAGGATGAGGTCCTTGAAGAAAACGGTGAAATAAATTTTAAAAAACAGGGCATTGTGCCTCACGACTGTAATCTCAACACTGGGAGGCTGACACAGGCAAATCACCTGAGGTCAGGAGTTTGAGACCAGCCTGGCCAAGATGGTGAAACCCCATGTCTACTAAAAATACAAAAAATTAGCTGAGCATAGTCGCAGGCACCTGTAACCCCAGCTACTTGGGAGGCTAAGGTTGCAGTGAGCAGAGATCATGCCACTGCACTTCAGCCTGGGTAATAAGAGCACAATTCATCTCGGGGGGTGGGGGGGGTTTCTCTGAAATGACATACATTTCTGAAGACCATGGGAGAGCACTTCGCTGAGGATGCAAGAGTAAAGGGAGACAATATGGCAGCAGAATTCCTTGGGAAACTGGAAAACACAGAATTCGGTACAGAGGTAGGGAGGTTGAGCAAGGATGAAAATAGAAAAGCGGACCAGCCTGGCCAACATGGCAAACACCCTGTCTCTACTAAAATTATAAAAATTAGCTGGGCACCACCTGTAATCCCAGCTACCCAAGAGACTGAGGCAGGAGAATCGCTTAAACCCAGGAGATGGAAGGTGCAGTGAGCCAAGATTATGTCACTACACTCCAGCCTGGGCAATAGTGAGATTCTGTCTTGGAAAGGTTAGAAAAAAAAAAAAAAAAAAAAGCAAAAACAAGAAATGAGGAAATTCAGTTGACAATGTAGAGATAGTCTAGATTTTATCAATGAAGCCAGAGATGCTTTTTAAAAATGTTCAGGGGTCAACACCTTTACTCAGGAAAATTCCTAAGAAGCTGACACTTTTATATAATGAGAAATGTGCCACATTCAAACACATTTTGAATGTGTTTTAGATGGGGTTTTCCCAACCATCTAAAAACCTTTTATATGAGTTTCTACTATTTATAAAATAAAGTCCAAACTCCTCAGCCTTACATTCAAGGACATTCATAATATGACCCCAAACCACTGTTCCAGGCTTCACCTCCTACTAGTGTTAGTTCACAGGAACCCAGAGCTCCAGCCTAAAGGTGCTCCTTGCCTTTTGTCTACCATACTCCATGTTCCCCAGCCCCAAAATACAGTATAGCCACCCAACCAAAAACAAAAAAAGTTATGAGCTACTTGTTAGAGAAAAGCAAAGATAACTATGACACTGTACCCAACATCAAGGAGCTTCTGGCAACAAGGCTATATACTCATTCCACTAAACTTCAAGGTTCATCTCAAGTATCAAGTCCCTTATCTTCTAACCATTTGCAAGATTCAGCAAGAAATGTTTTTTCTAACCCCTGAGTATTCACTCTCTGCTGCTTACCAGGTCTATCATATGTAGCCTAGGGAAACAGCCTACTGGGTCTATACATCCCTTCTCTCCACTCAAGGGTAAGATCCATGAGGGCAAGGACTGTATTTCTCTCTCTCTTTAAACTTCAGCAGCCAGCGTTTAGCACGGTGCCTGAAATACAGGAAATGCTCACTAGCAAGCATGCTGCTGCTGCTCCCCCAAAGCATGAACACCCTTTCAAATGAAATGTGGTGTTCTTTGGATACAGGGAAGAAAAATTGAAGAAATTCATTACTTAGGGCCCTGCTTATGATATTATCACTACACTGTTATTCTCACAACTAATCTGTTATCTCAACTGATCTTATTCCTTCACTATACGCAATGGTGCCTGTAGCAAAATTAATGTATTTAGATTTCTATAAGTTAGAAGCTTATACATTTTATAATTTTCAACTAAAATTTTCATATTTGCACAATGAAAACCAAGGCACAGGATTTCATTAAAGCTAATTATTATCCTTTAAAGGCAGGTAGAAGCATGACTCTGTTCATGAATTTGACAAAGGCCCTGGAATTCAGTTCTGTTAAGGCTTTCGCTATACACTTACAACCACAACCCTTCAGGCACCCTCTGCTGACTGCTGCCATACAGTCAACATTATTCACATTACCCTTATTGTCAGCTATCTCCAGGTTATAAATTACGGTGATTAAGCCCATTCTTTTTTTTTTTTTTTTGAGACGGAGTTTCGCTCTTGTTACCCAGGCTGGAGTGCAATGGCGCGATCTCGGCTCACCGCAACCTCTGCCTCCTGGGTTCAGGCAATTCTCCTGCCTCAACCTCCTGAGTAGCTGGGATTACAGGCACGCACCACCATGCCCAGCTAATTTTTTGTGTTTTTAGTAGAGACGGGGTTTCACCATGTTGACCAGGATGGTCTCGATCTCTTGACCTCGTGATCCACCCGTCTCGGCCTCCTAAAGTGCTGGGATTACAGGCTTGAGCCACTGCGCCCGGCCCCTAAGCCCATTCTTAAAAGCAATGCATTACTTGTTTCCTCAAATCATATCTCTGGAAAGGGAGATCCTAACTGCACATACCATAGCGTATCCTATTCCATGTTCAGATCTGACAAAAAACCTACAGATACAAGAAAAAGTATATGCCTTTATGAGACCTACTGAATGAAAAGAGCAATGAAATGCAAAAGCACGAGTTGCCTGGACAATCTATGCCTAAAAAGCAATACCTCCACAGATGATGAGTGTCCAATCAAATCTCCAATAAGCTCCAGTGAACATGAAGTAGCATTTTCTTGCTGCTTTTTAACAGGTTGGCTGGCTTGTTTGTTGACTCTTCCAAATCCCCACATGTTAAAAAAACCTAGAAAAATAATCATTTCCAAAATTACTGTGCTGTATACTTACAATAATAATATGAGATCAGAAAAACAGAAATTAAATGTGAAGAGGTTCCAGACTTATTTTAGTCAAGCTAAGTGGACAGTACTGAGCCTTGTGCTAGGGTTTTCTGAATATGTTATTTCATCTTTCTTAGCTAACCAGGTTATGTTCCTCATCTCTCTTTATTGTCCCTAGTCACCTACCCATTGGTGAAGGTATATTAACAAAAAGATAGACACCTGGAATAAAACAGGACAGAAGCATAAAGCTTGAATGGCAGTGTCTGTCAAAGGAAAAAAGGGCAAAACTCCGAAAAGTATGTATATGTGCAAAAGCAACACCCCAGGGCTTCAGAAAGTCAAAAGAAACAGAAGCAACTAGGTACCAGCATCTGATTTCTGGTGCAAAGGTTTGTAACTAATTTATCCAACTCTTCAGAGTTTTATTTTTCAAACTAAACACCTGAAAGTCAAGAGCTCATGAAATTATGATATAAGCACACAGAGAAAAGTGTATTTTTCCATAAATTGAGTTCAACATCAACGGTAAAGAACATTTTAGTTTGGCATCTGATGGTACAAATTTTGTGTATCAGAATTATAGACAATATAAATGAATACTTACTTCATTAGGCTATCTGGTCATTCAGATGACCAGAAAATAAGTTTTCCCTCAAAATAATAAACACTTTATCTTCTTGAAATAAAGAGGCAGTTCTACATTAGGGCGGCATTAAGCTGTAAATCCTAGATCTCAATTATCATATGCTTTCTATAAACATCTGATGCCTATTTAGAGCCCTTCTATATTATTCTAGTGGTTTCATATAATCGCCCTTCTCCTGCCTTTTACATGGAAAAAAAAAAAAAGAGAGAGAGAAAAAGACTACCTTTTTGAGAGAAGACACACACCTGTTGGTACAGGCTCAGCTGCAAGCTGCTGTTTTTCTCGTAACTCCCAAATGCGTACACTGCCATCTTCTGAGCATGAGATTAACTGCCTGTCAGAACAGAAAATCGGTAATACAAAGACAGAGAGTGCACCACTGAGGACCAATGCTAAATTTGCAGTGAAAGAAATCAGTGGAGCCCTCAACTGCTTTTATTCAGCTCTTAGCGGGAACTGACAAAAATCACAATTTAACATGACATTACAATGCAAACTAAAAGCACCCTTTAGGAAAGCCACACATTATACTATGTTACATTGGCTCAAATGCTATAAATTTATTCTCTCCATTTTAAAAAATGCACTTGGGAAAACAGTATGAATTATACTTCACAATGTCCTAAGCAGCCCCCTTCCCTCCTCGTGCTACCTCTCTTCTGTAGGTGCCTCTCACTCTAAAAATATCCTGCATAGAAAATAACAATATTCCCTGTCCGTAAGTCTGTCCGTAGAAGCTCAGCCGCAAATCTACCCTGAGAGGAAACCCCTCACTTACTAGCCTTACAAAACAAAGACACTACCAACCATTTCATTCGGGCCAAAAGCAAACAAAAAGATGGTAGGTTTATGAGAAATATAAAAATTGGTACACTCTAAGTGGCCCCCAAGTAGTTTACATTGTTAAATACCAAATTTCAAATCATCTCTTCTTACAATGAAATTCAATGTAATTCATTTGAACCTTGCTTCTTGTAATTTCTGTAAAATACTACCACATGCCCTTCTGTTAGAGACAGCCCTCAGGCATTCTCCATTTCCAAAAGAACACAGCAGGTCAAGCCATCAAGCCAGATAACGTGGCCACCTGAGAAATGACACGGGTAGCCCTGGGAACCGTGACTTGCTTTCATCTATTGCAGAACAGATGGGAACTCGTACCTGTTTGGAAGTCTGGCAATGTGCAGGACATTGGAGTCATGTGCAGTTTTCTGGCAGGCAATCACACGCTTCATTTGAAGGTTATACACGTATAAACCCCTTCCAACTGCAGCAAATACATTCTGGGGGAAGAAGTTCAGAAATGGGCATAAAACTAGCACTCACCCAACCCAGTGTAATGGATTTCCAGCCCTCATGTGACATCAGAAAGTCACTGTTACCTTCCCTAGCCTTTAGCCCAAATTAAAGTACCAATCTCTGAAACCCAAAAATGTCAAAGCACTAAAGAAAGCTCTGAGCGTTTAGAAGGTAGGACACAATCGCTAAAGCAGAGAAAGGTCTGCATAATACTACCACATGCCCCTCTGTTAGAGACAGCCCTCAGGCATTCTCCATTTCCAAAAGAACTACTTTCTTCCTCACTGAAATATATCTGGAAAAAAGCTCTAGCTGGCAGCCTGGCCTTGCAGTGGAAGCTGTTGAGGGATAACCTGAGTTTTCATTTAAATAACATTATAACCTTGGGAAAATTATCTAGCTTCTTCTGCCTGGAAAATGCAAGCAAAATTACTTGCACTCCACATCTTAAGCAATCAGGAGACCTATGAGTGATATAAAAAAATCACAGCTATAGTGACATTATCATCATGCAATCCTCTGAAGGTTTCACAAAAACATTTTTCCAAAAGTACTATTAGAAATAAATACCTTTTTATTAAAACAACTTTAATTTTTTTAAAGCATTTTCACCAATACTTACCTCACTTCAGCCTCACAACATCTTAAGAGCAGCAAGCATTATTGCCATTTTCCAGATAAGGAAGTTAAAGAGATTACAGGCACATAAGAAATGAGACTGAGACATGGAGTCAGTATGAGAATCAAGGTCATGTTACTCCAGTCCCTTGCTTGTTCCTCATGTGACACACACATGCAGTAGCCTTTGACATTTTTGCAAGCACTTGTCCAAGAATCATCCATTCTTACTTACTAGCTATCCCTTTGAGGCACACCTTTCAAATTCCCTACATAATGCCTTCTGGTTTCACCAGAGATTCTGGGCCCTCCAGTCTTTCTCACACGGCCTCCAAGACTACAAAATGAACTGAGACCTGTAATAACTGAACCAAAGCATGCCCCCAAGGCTTGCTGGAACCTAAAATCTGGAATGATCCCCTGACTCTCAGGATTAGTATTCTGCAATGAGCAATGCAGCTGAGGCCCAGTGCTGGGGCATTAATGAACACTGCTAGTCAAGGTGCTAAAATGGAAAGCCCTATGGATTGTATTCAATGCCAAATCCCCTGGTTCTATAGACCAGGAAATCTGGGCACAGTTTAAGTAATTTATCCAAGGTCAGGAAGAAAATTATAAACACAACTAAAGAACTGATGAGCTTTGGAGGCAGCATTTAGTCAATGGAGATACTATCAATCACCTGTAATCAATAACTGTACCCTACAGAAGGAAAGAAGGAAAATCAAGGAAAACTGTATAATGCTTTATCAAGCATGTATAGTAGAAAATAAACATCAATCAAAATATTTAAGATTAAAAGAAATACAAAAAACTTTTAATTTCTACAAAAGTCAGCAAAAAACATGTAACATTTAAAATATATCATTTGTAGGGCTACAACTCTTAGTGATCTAGTCTCCATCTTTTCTGAGACCACACTGTTTTTATCATGTATTAACTTTTTTCAAAATAAAGTTGGGATACAAAAAAAAAAAAAATCTTTGAATATATTAGTGTTTTTAAATCCTGTTCCTATCCTAATCTTTTGTTTTTTGTTTTGTTTTCAGAGTAGTACAAAGAAAAATGGATCATATTCTCCCCCACCACAGAATACTACTACTGAAATTTTTAATAAAAATAATATGCATGCTGTTAGAAACTTCAAACAGTATAAAAAGTCACAAAGTAGGGAGAGAAAAGCCTCCCCAACTCCTCCTCGAAGGGTACAACTCTTAAACACTTCTTGTGATTACATTTAGAAGTTAATTGCCCTTTAAACACATTTTCTGAGCCCCTAATGCTAACTTTGTTTTCAGATCAGAGGTAAGATTACATAGCACATACATCGTCCACTGGACATAGCACATTTGAGTCGAGAAATTTCTCACCAACATGGATATCCACTACCAAGTAAAGAAGTAATCCACTGGTACTAATCTCTTACAGCAAAAAGGATGTAAAGTGCTTCAAGAGTATCACTGCCAAGCCCTAAAGGATGGAAATCAACAATTCTCATTCAATTTATCTTGCTCCAACATGCCAGCAGACTAAGAGAAACATTCTTAAAATGTTTAATTTCATTTACTTCACGAGGAAATGCATCAGATCTTCAAAAGAGTTCTTTTTCACAGTGTTTCTTAAAACAGTCGTAAGCATTAACCTCAAATCCAATGGGATTATTTAATCCAACCCAAAATTTCAATAGTTTTAAAATCTGTAGCCATTTAATCATTTCCTTGCCTCAAGAGTAGAAGCAAAGATTAAAATGCTTTTTTTAAACACAAGTCATACCATTTTAGAAAAAAATCAGACCATTTTAAAGCACAACCTGAAACCATGAATGATAGATACCTTTTCTATGTCAAACATGGAATTAAATTAAAAAATTTTTAAAATCAGAAATTGGGTTTATTTAAAAGGCAAGTTTATAGATAGTGTCTAGATTTTTTACCTCTTCATCACATGTGAAATGATGAATAGAAATGTCATTTGATTTCTGACAGAGTTTTATTTCCTGTTGGGTGTCCAGTTGTGGAGATGGGTCCCAGAAGTTGCGTTCGTAGGCCTGCACGGTCCAGTCCAGGGCATCCCAGATGATCAGCTCTCCAATGTGCGAGCCAGTGACAAAACTCAAATCTAGACAAAGTTCACATATGCCTCATTATCAATCATTTTATCTAGGTAAAGGTAAAACTGAATGGAATGTCTAACAGAAATACCCTATAAAACTACAGTACTTACAGCAGTGAGTTACCTAGGCAAGCCAAAAGAACGATGAATATAACAGAACAAGAAGTCCAGAAATGGACTCAAATTATCTTGGTAATTTAGTATGTAATAATGATTGCATTTCATTTCAGTAAAGAAATACCTCACACTGGAGTATCTGGTTATATTTATGGGGAATAAAAGTAAAAGAAACTTATTTTGGATCATACACCAAAATAAGTTTCAAATAGATTAACACATTTAAGTTACTTAAAGGATAGAAAAAAATAAAGGTGAACCCTTTTGTGAATGTGGAGTGGTAAAAGGCTTTAACGGAAGCAGAATGGGGTCCGAGGGGAAGAGATCCTAGTAAATAGCTGCTTGGCAAAACAAAAACAAAAACAAGGGCTGGGCGCAGTGGCTCAAGCCTGTAATACCAGCACTTTGGGAGGCCGAGGTGGGTGGATTGAGACCAGCCTGACCAATATGGTAAAACCCTGTCTCTACTAAAAATACAAAAATTAGCCAGGTGTGGTGGTATGCGCCTTAGTCCCAGCTACTCAGAAGGCTGAGACAGGAGAACTGCTTGAACTGGGGAGGCAGAGGCTGCAGTAAGTCGAGATCACACCACTGCACACTCCAGCCTGGGTGACAAAGCAAGGCTCTCTCTTAAAAAAAACACACAAAAATACACTTAAATGACAAAAAGCTGGGAAAAATTTGCAACTTGGATGACAATGTTGGTTTAATATACCTGATACAAAAGGAGTTCTTGCAAATTATTAAGAACAAGATAAAGCAGAAAAAAATGGGAAAAGGATCTGAAAAGGCAAAACAAATACAAACAGTAAACGTGGAAAGATGCTCAACTTCTTTAATAATCAAAGAAATCTAAAAACAGGAGATACCATTTATTGACTTGTGAATCGGGAAATATTATAAATCAGGAAAATACCCAATACAGTATTCACAAAAGCATAAGAAATCAGAACATGTATCGCCTAATGCCCTACTATAAATTGGTATTGTTTTTTTCAAAGATTAATTTGCTAATATGTATCAAAACCTCAAAAATGTAAATCTCTTGATTCAACAATTCTACTTCTAGGAATTTATCCTGAAGGAAATACATAAATGTACAAGGTTGTTACATACATACATGTGTGTGTATATATATACACACACATATATATATATACACACACACAATCTTAAAAATCTGAAGATAACTACACATCAAATTGAGAACTGACTAAGATATCAACAAAATGAAACAGTAATGCTATTAAAAATTAAGTTATAGGGGGATCCCAAGATGGCCAAATAAGAGGCAGCACTGGAAAGCAGCTCCCAGAGAGAGAGAGACGCAGAAGCTGAGTGGTCTCTACAATTCCAAACGAGGTACCAGGTTAATTTTGTGGGTTTGGTTGGACAGTGGTTATAAACCAAATAGGGCAAGTTGAGGCAAGGCGGGACACTGCCCCACCCAGGTTCCATCCGGAGGACCACGGGATCTCGCCCTCTAGGACTTCGGTTTGGATACAGTGCTCCACCCAAGACCTCTACAACCCACAGAACAGGAGATCTTCACCGGGCTGAAAAGCCTCAGCAAATGCCTGAATAGGGCAGAACAGCAACTTCTGCTAGAGCCGGGGCAGTCAGCATAGATCTAGGTGGAAGCACTGGCTGACCTAAAAGCCAGAAAGTCAGCTGGATGGATCTATCCTCCCCGCAGTGGGAAGGGGAAATGAAAACAGGGAAACAGCCCATACAGCAGGATGGGTCCCTCCCACTGCAAAAAGCCCAGCAGACTTAAAAAAAAAAAAAAAAAAAACAAGTCTTACACCAGAGTTTCGTACCTAGAGAGTGACCAGGAACGGTCAAGCTCAGTGTGGGGAAGGGTAGCCACCATTGCAGAAGCCAGCCTAATTTTCCTGAGTAAATAAAAGATGCAGCAGCTCCACTGAACCTGTGGCAGCCCAGCAGCGCCTGTGCAGGCAAAGAAAAGTCCGCCTCTACAAGGTCACAGTAATCAAAACAGCATGGTACTGGTACCAAAACAGAGACACAGACCAATGGAACAGAACAGAGGCCTCAGAAGCAATAGCACACATCTACAATCATCTGATCTTTGACAAACTTCACAAAAACAAGCAATTGGGAAAGGATTCCCTGTTTAATAAATGGTGCTGGGAAAACTGGCTAGCCATGTGCAGAAAGCTGAAACTGGACCCCTTCCTGACACCTTACACTAAAATTTACTCCAGATGGATTAAAGATCTAAACATAAGACCTAACACCATAAAAACCCTAGAAGAAAACCTAGGCAAAACCATTCAGGACATAGGCGTAGGCAAGGACTTCATGGCTAAAACAGCAAAAGCAATGGCAACAAAAGCCAAAATAGACAAATGGGATCTAATTAAACTCCAGAGCTTCTTTACAGCAAAGGAAACAATCATTAGAGCGAACCAGCAACCAACAGAATGGGAAAAAATTTTTGTAATCTACCCATCTGACAAAGGGCTAATATCCAGAATCTACAAAGAACTAAAACAGATTTACAAGTTAAAAAAAAAAAAAAGTCCATCCAAAAGTGGGCAAAGGATATGAACAGACACTTTACAAAAGAAGACATCTATGAGGCAAACAAACATAACCACAGTGAGATACCATCTCACACCAGTCAGAATGGCGATCATTAAAAAATCTGGAGACAACAGATGCTGGAGAGGATGTGGAGAAATAGGAACACTTTTACACTGTTGGTGGGAGTGCAAATTAGTGCAACCATTGTGGAAGATGGTGTGGCGATTTCTCAAGGACCTAGAAACAGAAATACCATTTGACCCAGCAATCCCATTACTGGGTATATACCCAAAGAATTATAAACTGTTCTATTATAAAGACACATGGACACGTATGTTCATAGAGGCACTGTTTACAATAGCAAAGACCTGGAACCAACCCAAATGTCCACCAACAATAGACTGGATAAAGAAAATGTGGCACATATACACCATGGAATACTACGCAGCCATAGAAAACCATAAGTTTGTGTCTGTCATAGGGACATGGATGAATCTGGAAACCATCGTTCTCAGCAAACTGACACAAGAACAGAAAACCAAACACCACATGGTATCACTCATAGGCAGGCGTTGAACAATTAGAACACATGGACACAGGGAGGGGAGCATCACACACTGCAGACGGCGGGGGGTGGGGAGCGTGGGGAGGGATAATGTGGGGAGAAATACCAGATATAGTGATGGGGGGAGGAAGGCAGCAAACCACCTTGCCATGTATGTACCTATGCAATAATCCTGCATGACCTGCACATGTACCCCAGAACCTAAAGTACAATAAAAACAAAAAACAAACAAAAATTAAGTTATAAAAGTATGTCTATCAATATAAGCATGAATATGGAAATATATTCATGACATAATTTTTACAAAACGTGTACACACACACATATGCCCAGAAAATCACCTAGAAAGATGTGGGCTGGTGTTTAATACTGGATAGTTGAAAGATTTTAATATTAACTTCTATATTTTTTATGTTTTTCACTATTTACATATTTTTCTACTATGATTATGTGTAACTTGTACAAGTTTTTAAAACCTTTAAAAATGGATTTTTTTCCATTTTACTTATTATATACTTTACATACTATCTATTTAATTGAAAATGTACAACTCTTGGACTTATTTCAAATAAATGGAATTTATTTACATTATTACATATTTAGGGTAAGATAGAAGAGTATAATGCACTTAGTCTAGGAACCCAAGTTCTGATTTTGGCTCGGCCTGTTGCTAGCCAGGTGGTCTTTAGGAAGTCATTTAACCTTTATCTTGGATTCCTCATGCATTAAATGAGATGACTGTAAAAATCAAATTCAATAATAAATGTGTAGCCATTTTAAAAAGACATCAAATGTTATTTTTGTGCCTCTGGTGGTATTTTGAGCCCCTGGTATCATTCCACATTAATCGTATTAAAACATCCTGTTACTTGTTAATTTAGGAATACATAGATGAGTAATTATGATTTAATTATTTCATTTATCAAATAAACCAGCAGGACAGAAATATCTAATGGCCACATGAACAATCTCTCAAGAGATACAGAATAACCAGCAATCCTACATGTAAACATTATTTGTCTTGGCTTCAAGTCCATAATAGGTAGATTATTAATATCTAATTTCTGTAGTTTATTAACAGAAATAGAATTTGCTCTGTGGAGAAATAACCTCACTTTTCATATGCACAGCAAAACAGGCTTCTAGTTTTAGTAGTGGGAAAGTTAAGGCAGTACTAATCTTCCCATGACCTTCCTTCCCACCCCTTTCCCTCCTTTTTCCAATTTCATTCAAACTACAAAAGAACCAGAGAAGTTAAAAAATGAAGATTCCCCCCTTGACTCACTCTGCGTCTATAGTCCTAACATAGAATTCACCTGCTGAGATCATGTAGCTGTCTGCTCTGACTTAATTCTCCAAGTGTCTGTGATTTCTCCATGCAGTAGAAACAAAATGTCAATGACCAACTTGAATTTTCCCTAAAAACAAAATACTGGCATTCAGCTGAATCAGGCACTTTTTTTTTTTTTTTTTGGAATGGAGTCTCACTCTGTTGCCCAGGCTGGAGTGCAGTGACACAATCTTGGCTCATTGCAACCTCCACCTCCCAGTTCAAGTGATTTCTGTCTCAGCCTCCTTCATAGCTGGGACTACAGGTGTGTGCGACCACACCTAGCTAATTTTTGTATTTTAAATTTTGTATTTTTGCCATGTTGGCCAGGCTGGTCTCAAACTCCTGACCTCAGGTGATCCATCCACCTCAGCCTCCCAAAATGCTGGGATTACAGGTGTGAGTCACTGCACCCAGCCAATCAGCATGCATTTTTAAGCAGTT